ATAATTAATATATTTTATATATATTATAATATATATAAATATATTTTTTATATATATACATTACATATTTGAATATTTTTATTTTTATATAACTAATATTAGAATTTACCTTTGAGTGTTCCAATTAATACCATAATAAGATATGCATTTGGATAAAGTTTTCCTGCATGAGTTACTCCATCATATACCTTTTTACACCTGTAAATTATAGAAAAATAATATAAATATATTATATAAAAAATAATGGTACTAAAAAATAAAATAATAAGTAGTTACTTATTTTTTTACATACCTATATATTTCTTTCATAGTAGCACATATAATTTTTACTGGTAAAAATTTAGCAATTTTATATCCAATATCAAATGGTGTATAAAATATCACATACCTGTAAATTTTACAATTAATATTATATATAAATATTTTTTATAGTTATAGTATGTTCAATTAAATATTATAGAAAAATTTTAATTTATTAAAGTATTATCTAAAGGAAATAATTTCCATACAGAATATTTATAATTTAAAATTTAATAAGTTATCTTCCTATTATATTTTTATACTAACCAAACAATGGTTGCTACTATTACTTGTGGTGTGTTTTTTAAAGGTGCAAGAATAGGTTCTCCTAAAAGACCATTGCATAGCATACCACTTGCAAACACTACCAACATTGTTGAAAGCCAACATGATAGAGGATGTTTCCGAGAAAATGCTTGAGCACCTATTATTAATAGAATTATATATAAATATGATTTAGCAAAAAAATTATGAAAATTATAATTTAAAAAAATGTAATAAATTATATAATACTCTATTTTTAAAATTTTATATATTTGTTAAATAATAAATTTTATATAAAAAATAAAATTTAATATATTTATAAATATTTAAACTGTCAGAATTATTTTATTAAATTTACAGAATTTTATTTTTATAATACACCATAAAATATTAAAGAGATATGCTGTTTCAACTGGGTCGCTTGGAATCCTTACAAGTATACATTATATGCATTCATGCAAACATAATACCAGCTTGCCATAAACATGAAAATAATACTATTTAATATATTTTAAAGATTCTGATATCAATAGCAAGATATTAATTATAAAAAAATTTATTAAAATTTATTAAAATAATATATAATATATATAATATATGAAATATTATAAATATTAAATTAATAAGAAATATAAGATATATATAAGATTTTTGAATCATTTTTATTGTTATCATATATTGTGTGAAAATTGGTCTTTCATATTTTATTGCATAAAAAAGTTATGGAATAAAATTTTTATTAGTTTTGAAAATATTCTTATATAATACATTTCTATATTTTTATTAAATATTTATAGAATTATAATATAATTTGTAATATATATTTTTATATATATTATTATATTTAAAATAAAATAAATAAAATATAAAAAATCATATGAGATACAAATTGAAGCAAAAAATTGAAAAAAAATTTGGCGTATTCACAAGGATGTATACTGAAATAGATTAGCTCATTGAATGTCACAAAGTAAGATTATTATAATTGTGCCAGATACTATGTGAAAATAATTATAGGTGATGAAAAAATATGATGAAAAATTTTCTCTTTGATTTTTAATCTTCTTATTTAATGAATATTAAAGGAAAGAGTAAATAAAAAAATATTATTTTTTTCTCATTTCTATATTGTTAATAATATTAATTATATATAAAAATAATATGTACAACAACTTTTATTTTATATGTACAACAATTTTTACATTTTAAAAAATTGTTTAAATAACACATTTTATATATGTAATCTTATATATAATTTTATAAAAAATTAATAAAAATATTTAAAATGATGATAAAGCTTTAGCGTCCAATTACCAATAAAAAATATACAAAATATTTTTTTAATTCTACTGAATTTTAAATGAAAGAGAAAGCTTAATAGATAATAGAAAATAACAAAAAAGATAAACATATAAGAAGGCAAGGATGTTAAAAAAGAATAGAAAGAAATGGTAGGGAGCGAAACATAATCTTAGAAAAGGTATAAGCTGAATCTGGGTAGATTAAATTTAGAATTCGTCGGGTAGGCTTGAGCTTACCGGGTCCTAAATCTTCTCTGACGTGTAATGCACAGAGTACGCAGTGTGCGATATCAAAGTACGGGAACATTTTCAATTTAATGACCTGATTGGCCATATCCAGGAATGCTTCGGGATCCATTTCGATTGATTTCTATTTTTTTCACAATTAACTCTTCAGTTTCGTTTACAAAAACCGTATCTTTTGGCGTTCAACAATCTTCGATTTTGAAACAAAGTCGCAAGCGCCCGCGAACGACGCTAGCTATGCGCCGTCTGCTAGACTTAGTCGTCTGCTAGTTATGGAAGCGATTCCTACTATTAGAATCTTATCGTTGAACGAACAAATTTTGTGGCCTCATTAAAACTCGTTCCTACAGATGGCAGTAAACGATTAGATTTGCATTTTTTATCGTACTTTTTTGAAAGAATTTTAAATTGTTTAAAATTAAATTTTTATTTTGTAATTTATTACAGAGAAAAAACTAGTATTTTTAAAATTTAATTATGCTGATGATTTATTTATTATTTTTTTTTGTATTCTATATTTCTTTATTTTGAAATATATAAATAAATTCTAGAAAAAAATTTATTTACAATTAAATAAATAATGATATTAATAATTTATTTTGCTTATTTTAAAAATGATTATATATTTATATAACTTTATAGTATTTTTCTTTTATTTTAATAGTATCGATGATATAAACACATAATAAAAATATTTTTCCTTCATAAAATTATATTTATTATTTTATAAGTTATTATTTTATATTTCGATTGCTCTTTGTCTTCTAAATAGCTACAAATTATACTGCAATACATACTCTATTTTTGCTAACTTTTCTATAATGCTATATTCAGATATATGTATGTAAGTATGATTTTACTCATATTAGCAAGTATTGAGTAACCTACCTACAATCGTCTATACAAATCTTTATTCAAAAAATATAATGTGATTATCTAATCGTAGTGATACATGAATGCACGTATAAATACATTTTATCTAAATGTATTTTTATGGAGATTAAATCGATTGATAACAATGATCCATGATATATTAACGTGGAATCATGGAGGAATAAATTTGAACTAACGAATACGAAATTGTGCCAATTAAATAAAAAATAAAGATATAACAAAAGGTGGGCATCATACTTATTTAATTATTATATTTTAAAAATTAATTTTGCATAATAAAAAATTGCAATAATAAAATTTTTATGTAAAATTTTTGCAAAAAATACTATATTATATGCTATTGTTTGAAATCACATTTGATTACAAGTACGATAAAAAGAAAATTAATAAAATCTTGTTTTTTTATTTGTTTCATATGAAGAAGAAATAACAAGAAATAATACAAATTTCCTTTGCATGAAACAATTTGTAATATATATGATTAATGTATCATATAAAATTGAATATTGTGGTCTCATTTCTGAGTTAATCTTAATTCAAAAGCTTAATTTCTTTTCAAAGTGCCTTTTATATTTGAATGCAGACAATGGTAAGATTATTCTTTAATCATTTTGATAGTATAATTATGTTTTCCTTTATATATTAATAATGGTAATTTTCAGAGAGACGGAATAAGATTACGTCAACATGTCTCTAAAAGATCTACTAGTGATGTGTTATATGAAGATAAAGCTTCTTCAAAGAAGAAAGAAATACTGCCAAATGAAACTCAACATTTACTTTTTCTTTTTACATTTTATCTTTTTGTATCCATTATCATTATCACATTTGAAAAGAAATTACCTGAACCGTTAACAATAAATAAAGAAGGTTTATATCCTGGAAGATTTATTGCTGAAAGAGCACATAATCATCTTCTAAATATTACATCTATTGGACCACGAATTGTTGGAAGTTATGAAAATGAAGTATTGGCAATTAAATATTTAACTAATATCATTAATAATATAGTCAAAGGAGCCAATGAGAATCATAAGATTCTAGTCAATGTAACCAAGCATAGTGGAGCTTTTCCTTAAAATTTTTAGATGGAATGACAAATGTATATAGAAATGTTCAAAATGTCATTGTTAAAATTGGTCCTCATAGATCTACTCAGAGTAGTTTATTGATAAATTGTCATTTTGATACTTTTCCAGAAAGTCCTGGTAATGATTATGGAAAAATTTTATTTAATAATTATCAATAATTGAATATTAAATTAACTTTTTTTTTAGGTGGATCTGATGATGGAGCTAGTTGTGCTGTGATGTTAGAAATTTTACGTGTAATTAGTCATAGTTCAAAATTATTAAAGCATAACATTATATTTTTATTTAATGGTGCTGAAGAAAATTTATTACAGGTATATTAATTAAATATAATAAATATTGATAAGTGAATGAAATTTAATTAATTTTTTAAAAAATTATATAGGCTTCCCATGGCTTTATAACACAACATCCTTGGGCTAAAGAAGTGCGAGCTTTTATAAATTTAGAAGCTTGTGGTGCAGGTGGTCGTGAATTATTGTTTCAGGCTGGACCTGATAGTTCTTGGATGCTTCAAGTACTATTTAATAATAATAATAATAAGAATAGTATAAATTATCTTATATTTGTTATTATTATAAATATTTTAATGTATTTTTATTTTTTTATAGATATATGCTACATCTGTTCCTTATCCCTATGCATCATCCTTAGCTCAAGAAATATTTGAAAGTGGCATTGTACCTGGAGATACTGATTTTCGAATATTTAGAGACTTTGGAAATGTTTCTGGTATTCATTTTATATTATCTATTTTAATTTTATACTTTTTTTTATTTTTTAGATATTTATATATTATATATATATTTAAAAAATTATAGGTCTTGATTTTGCATGGGCAACTAATGGTTATGTATACCATACTAAATTTGATAATATTCACCAAATACCATTAGGATCTTTACAAAGAACTGGAGATAATATTCTTGCTTTATTACAAGGAATAATATTAGATAATTATTTATCTGAGATACCATTTCAAGATCACACAGGAAATCCTGTATTTTTTGATTTCTTAGGTACATTTGTTATCAGATGGCCTCAATATATGGCATGTACAATTAATATTATTAGCATAATCGTTAGTATATATTCGATATATTTAAATATACAAAATGCTCGTCGAGGTACGTACATGTAGTATTAAATCAAATTTATTAACATATAATTTTAATGTAATCAAAATTTTAAATTTTAATTTAGATACAAAAAAATCAATATATTTAAAACATTTATTATTATGTACGGGAGCAATAATTGTTTCGTGGCTAGTATCTATACTTTCATGCACATTAATCGCACTTATTCTTACTAAACTTGGAAAAGTTATGAGTTGGTATGCAAGACCAGCATGGTTATTTTTTTTATATGTGGTTCCAACTATTTTCATATCAATGACATTTTTTTTATTCATTGGCTCACGTCAAAAAAAGGCAAGTTTATAATAATATTTTAAAATATATATATTATAAATATTTCTAATTTTATAAATTTTTTAATTTTAATTAACATTTTATAGGAAGTTAAATCTGCATGGACTTTATATCAAATATACTGTGATTCATATTCCATAATATGGATATCTGTTCTTTCTTTTTGTGTTGTATTTGAGATACGATCTGGTTTTATACCATTACATTGGGTTGTATTTCCTACTGCTGGGAATATAATTCGATGTAATTTCTTTAACAAATGGAGAGGTATATATAATTTTATCGATGAATTATTTTATCATGGAATTATTATAGTCAAATTAATATTATTCTTAATTAAATTATTCTTAATTTATTTTATTCATAGGTTGGAAATGGCTGTTTTATTATTTAATGACGACGTGTTTACCTTATATACAATCTTTTTATTTAATAATTGGAGCTCTTTATCTTTTTATACCTATAATGGGACGATCTGGTAGCAGTATAAATTCAGAAGTTGTTATGGCTAATATGTTATGCATCCTTTTTTCTCTGCTACTTAGTTTCACGGTATATTATTAAGTTATTATTTAAAAATTTTTTATTATATCGTAAAAATCTAATATAATACTCTATTTTTAGTTACCATTTGTACTTTTAATAAAAAATGCAGAGAGAATCTTAAGTGTATTAATGGGAATATTTTTAATAACTATAGGAGTATTAATTTTAACTCCACTTGGTTTTCCTTATAGTGGTGATTTATCATCATTAGCACCAGAACGATTTATGATTGCGGTAATCTTTATAATTAAATTCTGATTGATTTATAATTGAATTAAATAATTGAGAAATATAATGATTGATAATTTTATAATAAAGAATATTTGATTTATATATATATACAGCACACACAAAAACAATATTATGATGTTGATGGTAATTTACGTTATTCTGGAACGGGATATTGGATAGCTGATTTAGATATGAATAGTCCACATAGTGTGGAAGCTGTGGTACCTGAAATAGGTGCAGTAATGTCAACAATAAAAGATTGCGAAAAAGAATTATATTGCGGCCTGCCATATTTTATGCCTGTTACAACATTTTTATGGTATTTTTTACTATACTCAACATTATATTATTTTAAAAAAAATTTTTAATATAAAAATATTTTAAACAGGAAAACAAGTTGGATTCCAGGCCCTGCTCCATTAATTAGCATTCCAACAAAACTTGAACTTATTTCAAAGTCTATAAAACAAAATATTGTCAGTTTTACCTTTAATGTTACAGGTAGTTATTTTATTATTATATTAAATTAAATAAATAAATAAATAAAGAGAAGAGAAAATAAAATCAATTAAAATTTTACTTTTAGGTCCAGATCATATAAGTATAATTTTATCTCCATATAAAGGAGTTCATTTACAGAAGTGGTCTATTTTAGAAGGGAAACCATTAGAAGGACCTAAATGGAACAATAGAGAAACATATTTTATTTATTATTCTTGTGCATCTGACTGTGTTCCTTTTACATTTTCTCTTGAATTGAATGTAAGTAAAATATGAAACTTTTATTAATGAAATAAATGAATGAGTGTGTATTAATTTTGCTAATAATATTTTTAATATCTATTCTTCTGTAGATAAATAATATGCCGAAAACTCCATGCTTATCAATAGCACTAGGTGGTCATTTTTTACATGGTGAACATCAAACATCTTTAAGATTCAAACGATTCTTAGCACAATTTCCATCTTGGTCAGTCGTCACTCCATGGACAGCAACATACACTTCTTGGCAATTTTAATAAGTAATATACGGAACTAATTCTCTCTTGAATCTTTACTGAATGCTTAGAGAATAGTCTGCAGAATGCTGTAAGAATAGTCAATGATAGCCTAATGAAAACGGCACTGTACTACATGTTATATAGACATTTACAAGATATATATAATATTTAATAATACAAATTATAAGCTTAAAATAATCTTATATTATTTGTTAATTTTTTGCAATTGCAATATAACGAGAAGCATCTACATTTAAAAATAGGGAAAAAAAGAAAAAAAAAAACAAGAAAAATACATTCAGAATGGAATATACATTTTTCATTCTATTTATATAAATTTTTTACTAGTATATTATTAAGTAGATTAAAAGAATTTTCAGGGTAGACCTATATTAGGACTAAAAAAATTTGAAAAATTTCGATTTTCTTAAATTATAGTCATTATAGAATACTATAATTTAGCATATCAAAACCGTATGCCTTAGATTTACAATTGTATGTAATTCTTATATGCTAGAGGAATAATAATTTCCGTAGACTAACTAATCTGTAACAGCAGATAGTGAATCGAAGAAATTGAAATTGAAAAATCATCGCTATGCGATAATTATCTTTGTATTGCGATCTCTATTAAGGACAATGATTATTCTTCTGTCTTGAATAATCGATATACGAATTGCATTTTACGAATCCAGTTAAAGCACAAATATTATAATCTGCTTTATTATGCGTTGTATTAAGATTTATTTAGGTTTAATTTAGGATAAAATTAATCTATAACAGTTCCGATTTCTTCACTAACGAATTTTATAGTTACTATGTATGTCTTATATATTTATTTTTCTTTTAACGTTGATTTTTTTGTTACAATTGTTTAGAATGAGAACCATATCATAATTAATCAAAAGATTACATTAGAATTTAATAATATAATTTGTTAAAGGGTTGTTTTGTTAATTTGTTTTTTTAAAGAAGATGAAATTTTTTTTATTACTTCATTCGTTTTCATTTACATTTGTTGTTGTCAAGAGACTGAATTTATTTTAATTGTTGTTGATAGTTGTTAATATATATTAAATTTCATTTTTGTACTATTTAAATAACTCAATTTGCATAGTATATTAATCAGTAAATAGTTGAAAAGTTAAAGTGAATATAATTAAGAAATATTTATCAAACAGTTTCAAATTTAATTGTAAGAAAATTATGCCAATATTGATAGCCAATCGCATAGTCAGATGTAAGTTTAAAGTATTATTAGGGGATAGTATGCGAGAAATTTTAATATATTATTATAATACTTTTACACAAATGTAAAAGAAAAACATATTTAAATGCATGTATGTTCAACTCGTTATGTGATAACGTTAGAAGATTTAATTTTCTACAATTAATAATCCATAAATTTGAATTCAATTTTAATATATATTATTAATTAAAAATTTTCTTAGTCAAATATTGCAATATTTTGAAATTTTATTCCTATTTTTTTATTGTGATTTATCTTATAATTAATTAAATATTTAAAAATTTACATAGAAAAAATATGTAAATAATGTATAATTTTCGTTGTTAAATACGTTAATTATATAATTTTTATTGCACAAGTGGTTACAACTTTATTATGAATAATATCGCACAGTTAAGTATCAAAATAATGTTATTATTGGATTTTTATTTCTGCATTTATTCATTTTATAAAAATTATTCGAATATTTTTATTACTATTTACAATAGTAATTGATAATAATGACGATCACTAAATATCGCAAGGATTTTGTTGTCATTCATATATGTATTTATTTGTTTTTTTTGAGTATGTGCTTAATTATCTACATAATTCTTACTTCTTTTTAATGTTCACGTTGTAATTTTATATACGGGTAATGCTATTGTTATTTAATGTTTCTTAGCAAACAAATGAAGTTTTACACGAATGAAGAATAAAAGTGTTGATATTTGAATTTTCTTGTTTATTCCTTTTTTAATTTCTTTTTCTTTTAATTTGATGGTATCTCAAAATTAATAATTTAAAAACATGAATAAAATATCAAATTATTATGTCTATAGATTAATAATAGAATTTGCTTTAATAATTGGAAATTTTTCATAGTTGTTAGATATAATATATATTATAGAATTCATCATTCATTGTTACCATTGTACATTGATTGATCGTATCAATTTCCTGTTTTCGTGATCATTGATTACATATGCAACCAAGTGAATTCTATTATTTTGAATAGTACATTACAATATTTTATTTAACAATTTTTTTAATTCAATTTTTAAATAATTTTTAAATTCAAAAAATGTTAAATTTTAAAAGTTACAGATTATTAAATTATATAATTAAAAAATATTGAAATGTTAAAAATTTGTAATTTTTTAATCCAAATATTTTCAAATATTAAAAAAATTTCAATTTTAAAACAATAAAAAAAATTTTCAAATATTTAAAAAAAATTTAAAAATATTTAAATATTTCAAGTTTTTAAATTTATAAATATATTCGAATTTTTAAATTTAAAAATTTTCAAATATTTAAATTACATTTATACATTATACATTTACATTATAAAAAGCATAATATATATAAATTTTAATTATTCATTAAGTATTCATTAAGTAATAACGTTCAATAATCTATTACTGTGACGAATTCTTTGCATTTAATTAAAAATTATTTCAATAATTCTATTTTATTCTTACTTATAATTTAATCCATGAAAAATTTTATTATCTTATATTTAATAAATTTATAATTTATTATATATTATAATTATAAATTTTATATTTAATAAAAAATAAAGCAAACTTTCCATTATTATTTTAATAAATCTCACTGTAATATTATTATTAAATGTTGAAGAATGACCTTGAACTTTTTCTAGATCTTGATTTTTGCAAAAATTTATTAAATTTTCAATTTCCTCCTTTTTCTTTTCAATTTTCATTTTTTCTTATACGGTTTCGTAAGAAACGTGTCAATATTGACGCACTGGCATCCTGTAAGACGAGACCGATTTCCTGGTCGAGGCGACACTGATCTGCAAACGGGTCGTGGTATTCGACTCGCGAGCCACGAACCGTGAAAACGGTCTGATAATCACAACTAAGATACGTTGATTTATCATAATGTGGGATACCTGGTTGTATTTAGTGATAGATCGTTAGAGACATCAGGTTTGATAAAAAGAAGAAAAGAGAAGGGAAAAAGGGATAACAAAAGAAGAAAAGAAGAAAAATAATTATCAATTATAGTTGCACAATAAGGAAAAGAGCACGATATACTATTCAGATAAAAAAATCTGTTTTGAAACCGGTCGAAACAATTATTTTTTTTTTTTTTTTTTTTCCTTTCATTCGCTGCGTCACGCTTGCGGATCGCGGTTATCTTAATGGAAATTGTCGGTTTGGCTCGTTTATCGATCGATTTTACGCGGAAGTTAACCGATAACAGTTTTCACGAATATCGGTGAATTGAAAACAATTGTGATTGAAGATTTTTTTTAAAACCAGGTGATCATTATTAAATGAATTTTTTTTATATAAAGTGAAAAAATTATAAAGCTTATTGGGATTATTAGCGAGGAATGGAGGTAAAACTTAATTGAAAAAAAATTGGAGGTAAGATTTAATTTTTAATTTTAATTTATTTATTGATTTTTTTATTTTTACTTTGATTTAAAATTTAAGATTTTAAAAATTAAGGAACTCTTGAGGAATGAATTGATCGATTATTAGAAATTGATCAAATTAATTATTTTTTTTTTATAAATTCATCGATTATTATTTCACTTATTTTGAAAGATTATTGAGATTTCAAATTACGTAATAGACAATGGTTTTTAGTATCTAGAACTGATATTTGTGCGGAGGATTGTTTGATTACTTTAAGAATAATATTAGTGATTCTTGTTTCGCGTTGGTAAGATAGTAAGTAAGATGGTTTTAATAAACTTAACGATAACGGTGATAATTGTATCGGGAGCTTGCAAATTAAAGTACCGTTAATTATGAATCGGCTGTAAAACGGTTAGTTGGAAAAGTTGCCAACTGAAACTAATTATCTTATTCTTCTCAAGTAGGGTTAATAAGGTTAATTGTTATTGTTAATGATCCATATACGTATGATAAATTACACTAATATAATTTATATGTTTCATTTATATTTATATATATCTCGTAAAAAAAAATTTAAAGATATTCCAAAATTGAATACAAATTGACTTAATTTGAATGACTAACCGTATGTATTAATATTAGAGATTTTGTCACTCTTGATAAATTAATTAATATTTTAATATTTATTTTTGTTTTTCATTTTTAAAAAATGAGGAAAAAAATATATAAAAATTGGAAGAATATTTTTATATTCTTGAATGAACCGTGACCTATTTTTGTTTTGTAAAGTGAAAGATATGCAAATATCCTGTATTGTAAATGACGTCGCCAAACCAAATTTCATTGTCGTCGCGATTTTTCACGCAGAATTCTGTGTTGAACTAAGTCTGTTTGTTCTTCAATTAGCAACCGACTGGGATTTTTTAGTTCCAGAGCACCTCGGCAGGCTACCTCATTTGCACGGCCTACTTCCTTCCTTATGCCTTTCGCTTCTTTCTTCGTCTATCGAAAGGGTGACTATTAAGATATTGAAACTGAAGAATTGAAGATCAATCAATTATAATAATGTAATATTACAATCAATTTTAATATGACAATTATTTACTTATTAACGTAACAAAATACCTCTTAATATTGAAATTGTGTTTGCAAAAAAATTGAAAAGAGAAACGTGCAATTTTACATTTTACTCGAAATCTCGTAAAATCCAATTGTCATTATATTAAATAACGAATGAATTGTTTCATTGTAATTCGAAATGAATATATCTTATTCCACTTCAATCTTCCAAACCTAAACAATGCACAATTCGTTCTTTAAAATAAATATAAACTATTTAACGTAAATCATTCCTTTTCCATTGGTAAATGTACAAATGTATATTTACCAATCCATTTTTCTAATAAGACAAAATTAAACATCCGAATATCCAGAACCGGATGGAAGGTATGGACATATACGCAGCATTCGTGCGTTCCTTTCGCTCGTCGTGTAAGTACACAACGTTCTATGGTCTTATATATGCATCCACAAGTACGTGATTTGTTTACCGATTAACTATTCTTCTCTCGGTTTTTTTTTTTCTCCTCTATACACTTCGAACTTTGTCACATGAATATTGTGACGACAGAGGAAC